GGCTGTTGCAGGACAGTGAACAGAGGGCTGTTGCAGGACAGTGAACAGGGGGCTGTTGCAGGACAGGACAGGGAACAGGGGGCTGTTGCAGGACAGGACATTGAAACAGAGGCGGTTGCAGGACAGTGGAACAGAGGCTGTTGCAGGACAGTGAACAGGGGGCTGTTGCAGGACATGACAGTGAACAGGGGGGCTGTTGCAGGACAGGACAGTGAACAGGGGGCTGTTGCAGGACGGACAGTGAATCAGAGGGCTGTTGCAGGACAGTGAACAGAGGGCTGTTGCAGGACAGGACAGTGAACAGAGGGGTGTTGGCAGGACAAGGGCAATTGGAAACAGGGGCTGTTGCAGGTCAGGACAGTGAAACCAGGGGGAGGGCTGGTTGCAAGGACAGTGAACAGAGGGGCTGTTTGCAGGACAGGGCAGGGAACAGAGGGCTGTTGCAGGACAGGTACAGTGAACAGAGGGCTGTTGCAGGACCGGACAGGGAAACAGAGGGGCTGTTGGTGTTGGTGAACCTCCCCACAGGCAGCAGCACTGCTGGAAGCACAAGGAGGCAAACATCATAAAAACACTTCTGATGGGTCACTACATCACAGTACTATGGAGTACTTCTCAGTGAAGGTCAAAACGAATAGATTTAATCAATAACTTTACTAAATCCAACTGGTTTTACACAGCATATGTTATTCTAAATGACAAAGCAACATATAGGAAGTCTGAAGGTGTGTGTTCCTGTTGTCTGTGTTACCGTTGCCCCCCCCTGCTGCGGGCCTGCAGCAGGAAGCCCTCGAAGTGTGTGTTCTTCACCTCCACCGTCACTGAGGGGGAGAAGGGGGGAGAGGGGGAGGCTGTCAGGTTAGCAAGGGTCAGAGAGGCTAGCTTAGGTAAGGGAGAGGACGCAGGTGACCAGCACCAAATTCCTTGGGGTGACCATCACTGATGACCTCACCTGGAAAAACAACACCACCGCTCTAGCGAGGAAAGCCCAGCAGCGCCTGTACTTCATCCGGAAGCTCAAGCGAGCCGGAGCATCACCCCCCTTCATGCTGTCTTTTTACCGAGAGCATCCTCAGCAGCTGCATCACGCTGTGGTTCGGAAGCTGCACCGCCGCCGACCGCAAGAGCCTGCAGCGCATTGTGAACTCTGCTCAGAGGATCATCGGTGCCTCACTCCCATCACTAGAGGACATATACAACACCCGCCTCACCCGCAAAGCACTCAGCATTGTGGGTGAACTCCACCCACCCCTCCAAACAGCCTCTCAGCCTCTGCCTTCAGGAAGAAGGTTCCTCAGCCTCAGCTTGCGCACCTCCAGGCTGGGCAACAGCTTCCTCCACCAGGCGGTCAGGATGCTGAAACTCTCTCCCCTTCCCGTCCCTCTCTCCCCCTCTCTGACATCTCTCCCCTGAACTCTCCACCTGCCTCCGTCCTGGACTCTACCCCCTAAACTCACTTTTTCTGCCCATCTCCGCTGCTACTGCACTGAAAACTGTACTTTGAACACTTAAATTATATATTAACATTTTAAACTGTATACCCCGGTTATCTAGGCCCTTTGTTTTGTTTAATGTATATATGTCACACTGTAGGACTGCGGGAAAACGATATTTCGATATTTCTGGATGTACAAACATGTAGAATTATTGACAATAAAGCTTGACTTTGACTTGACTTTGAGGAGGGTGGAGGAGGCAAAGACTTGTGAAATACATTTAAAATTCAAACAAAGTAAATACAAATGTCCCAAAATAATTCTTAGGAATGTGTTCAATGAGACGACAGGAACTGAGGACAAAGTAAGTTCCTCTAAACATGACCTTTGACCTCTAAGCTGTTACACAATACCCTCCAGGGATGGAAGAAGAGTTTGGGGGGTTCTAAAGTGAAGAGAAGGGGGAGCAAGAGGAAGGCAAGGAGTGAAGACATGATGATCCTAACAGTATAACAACCTCCAAGGATCCTTTAAAGAGGCCCTATTATGTTGTTTGGGTTTAGGTTTGTGTGCATGTAAATGGTCTGCTAAATGTTAAACATAACAGATACATATTTCATCTAATACAGTATCCCCCCCCTTCAGGGGGTCCCCAGGTGTAGTACCTGTGAGGAGGCCTCCGGGTTTGTAGGCTCCACAGACACAGTGAAGGGGGGGCTGCTGGTGGTGGTGGGGGTGAAGGGGGGGTGAGAAGGCAGTATGTTGCCACAGGCCGGCAGCACTGAGCCGTCAGGGTAACAAACACACTGCTGAACACACCACAGACACACTGCTGAACACACCACACACACACTGCTGAACACACCACACACACACTGCTGAACACACCACACACACACTGCTGAACACACCACACACACACTGCTGAACACACCACACACACACTGCTGAACACACCACACACACACCGCTGCTAGGAGCCACAGCATGGCTCTCACCTGAAACACAGGAACATCTCTGACATGTGACATCACATCCACACTTCCTCAGGACTACCACTACAGACTCTTTAAGAACCATCTATGAAACATTCTTAAACTAAAATGTAATACAACAACTTCAAATCCAGAGGCTCAGGGATATGCAACATCTGGATTTTGAAAGGCGATGGTTAAAATTCAACACTGACAAAATGGTGATGTTTTATCGCGCTTCCATTGAGTCCATTCGGTGGTTCTCTTCAGTGTCGTGGCTTGGTGCCTTTAAAGAGCAGAAAGTCTCATCCTGATGATAAAGGGCTCGAGCAGACTGATTGGTGAGTCACAGCTAAACCTGGAGACTTGCCTGTTGTCTGTGTTGTTTAAACATGTGTCACCATGGATCCCTTGTCTTTTAACTGAAAACCAAATCTACCTAGATACAAATAAATAACCTGAACCTCCCAATACATGAAGTCTTCAGGACCATTAATAAAGAAATATAACAAACAATAACGAAGGCAGGACCATACTTTCAGAAGAAAATATACGAGCCAAATGTGGTTGTAATCCACACCACCCCGACAGACAACAGGTGCACTAGATACCACGAGCCACACCCAGGTGACAATTACCGAAAATGACCGATTTCAAAATGTTAGCAGTGTTAACAAATAATGGTAGTAATAGAAATCCCAAGCTAAATAAGCGTTTTGGCTCCGACAAAGACAATGATTGCTTTGAGTGTTGGAAGACTTAAATACACTTTATAAATAAATGTGAGATTTATTTTGACATCACTGTGCTACTTTGCCTTTCATTAACAGTTTGCTGACTGAGGTTCTGTGGCAGATCAGGCTCTGGTACACACACTATAATATTAAGTGCAGACATTCACTGTTGGATCGGTCATTTCGTAAAAAAAGTCATTATCGGCATTATCTTTTATGAAATAGCAAAGCTTCCACAGATATGTTCCTTAATGAAAATATTAAAGTTTTTAACAATTCTGAATGCAATTGTCATACAGGGTTGGTGTTTATTTTGAATAGAAGTCGCTGTGCCAGGACAAAACATTGAGATAAACGTATAGACCTCATCATTCATAACATTCCTCTGCGATATGTAAATATTAGCAAAATGCCACTTGTCAAACCTTCATTACACATGAACTGTAACTGTTTATATTCATCAAAGTGTTGACACGTATGCTGCCAACAAGCTGTCAGCATCCTCTGAGTATACATCATTCAATATAAATCAAACTTCCTCTCTAACATTTCATATGATAAGTGAAGCGTTACGATTTATCTCTGCAAACGTCTCAACATCTGTACTCACCTGGTCACTGAGCTGAAGGTCTTCCTCTGGAGACACACACACGCACACACACACGCACACACACACCTGCACACACAGCTTCAGCTGTGTTGAGATGCTGGAGCTTCTCCTGAATGTGTGTGTCCTCAGAGAGTGTGTGGAGCTCTTCAGAGGAGGACCTGTCGAGCAGGTTTGTAATCTGCTCTCACCCGAGACTTCCCCTGGGATCTCTTGTAACCGTGACAACAATCACAGGACACGGTAAACAACACGGGGGTCAATTATGAGTCTCACACACAGCAGAGGAAACGGATCATGTTCCACATCAATGCTCTTCTGTGACAGGCTCCTTCACTTAAACAACATAACACCTTACATCTCGGTTCAAGACCAATTGTACTGTGGGGGGGCCTCCTGGGGCCAGTTATTCAGGGGCCAAGTACTGGGGGACAAAGGAGACAAAGGTAGTGTTTGAAATGTCAATACTTTTAGTTCAGTATAAAATCATAGCACACAGAAATACCATTACTGGAGTTTGTTTTAATATCAGAATTTGTGTCCATGACTTAGTTAGACTTTTGATTCAGTTACTTATTTCTGTACCCAGGTTACAGCAGTCTTTGTGGCTACGGTGTCCGACTGGTGTATAGGCATTACAACGGCCCAGAACATCTTTTGAATCGATGCAAATATAAAAACACACAAATGTGCCAAAACACAGGCAAAGGAAGAAACATATTCACAAACATCACAACACATGCTCAGCGTTTACTAAAAGTGCTACGTAAATGAAACGCTGCAAGAAGCTCAAAGTTGACCAACTATCACCGTCTGCATGCGTCGTCAGGTTGGGGAAGATATTTGTTGCATGTGTTCTGGTACATTTATGTTTTAACATGAACGTTTAACATCCTTTCTGAAACTGAGCGCGTTTCTCCTAATGTTTCTCCTAATGGAAATGGTTTGGGCCGTGGTAGCACATTTGCACGGGTTGAGTATGCAGCCAAACTTTGTTTTTATTGTATTTCTTAATATTTTTGGGGGTTTTGTTTCTGTATCAGAATTTGTTTCACTAACTTTATTTAAATGATATAATTGTAAGAAACAAACATACCTGTTAACTTCGGCCCTGGTAACAGCAGTCTTTGATGCAACACTATTACAAATTGTATTATTATAGATTCTTCTTTTTAGAGGGGGGTCCAGATCAGTGTAACAGGGGGACTGCCCCCTGTTGGCCTCCCCCCTAGAACCGCCCATGGCCCTCCATATTCTTTAAATGAGCGCCTGAAGATTTCTTTGTTGTCTTTTTGTCCATCACCAAGAGGAGCAGCAAGCAGGAGTCCCACACAGAAGCACAGCTCATGGTTTATTCTTGATGTGATACAGTGAGCACCATGAGCAGCTCTGTGCCATCATCAGGTACAGAGCATCAGATCACACAGCGCTCCGCAGCTCTCTGCTTCCTTTTCTACTCGTCTCCATTGACGTGCTCTCATGTGATCTGAAGTGTCACCCCGGAGAGGTGTACAGGAGGGGAGCAGGTGTTACTGCACACGCTACTTTCCACATCCAAGTGTGTTTCCAGGTGGGGTGAACTGGTGGCCGACAGGTGGAAGCGCGCTACAACGGCCCAAAGCACTTACATCAGGAGAAACGCTGCAGTTAGAAAACAATGTGCCAAAACATGCATAAACAAAACGATGTAAAATATAAACGCTGCAAATAAAAAAAACGCTACAAGAAGCTCAAAACACAACGGCAACAGGGACAATGACAAGTGACGCACAGAGCTGGGACCCGAGCGTTTGTTGATGTTGGGGTTTTATAAAGTTGGTCGACTGTCACTGTTGTTGGAAACGTAAATTGTATGTCTTATTTGAACAACATGATCACATGACTCCTTCTGATATTATTTCTAGCTGGCTAAAATAGCTAACTTAGTCATTTCAAATATACTGACAAAACACTTACAGTTATGAAACAGACTAACTCTGCCAACAGCGACATTGGGCCAACTTTATTATTCCCCAATGTCAACAAGTGCATATTTTGAATCGTTTCTAAAGTTGCACCAGGTTTCTCATAATTGAAGTGTTTTGGGATGTTGTAGTACGTTAGCACCTGCTGGCCTCCATAGAGTACTGCTGCATGTGGGAAGATTCAGGCGCTGAGACAAGGACCAGCTGGTACAAAACAATCATTTGGTTTGAAAAGGAGGAGGCTACAGTAAAGTTGGAGTAACTCTGTGACATGAAGCTGTGTCTCTTGTATATGTTTAGGAGGCAGAAGAAAAAAAGCATAGTTACACAACGGCATGGCACCAGTGGGTGCTACATCGGTGATGGATACAGGATGGATGGATCAAGTGTTTTTAGTCCTTAAGATGTAGAGAGAGACAGCAAGAGGAACAGGGATGAAGAAGAAATGGAAGAGTGTGGTTTGCTCTTTCTGTTTCAGATAAGGTAAGTCAATGATCGCAATGCTGAGTGTGTCTATTTTCACATTGTCTGGACAGGAGGAGGTCAGGGAACAGATTTAGTATCACATCACCTCCGTCAGGCTGAGCAGGAACTTGTTTCAGTACTTGAGACTAACTTCCTGTTACACAGCAGGAAGTGTTCTGTAGTACTGGTGACAACAATTAGTACAAAAATCGTCAAAAGCATGAAACGGGCTTAAGGGTAACAGGTGTAACATTGACAGGTTGTAGGTGAAGAACACAGGTTGGCATAAGTGACAGGAGGAGGAGATACACAGTTAAATGCATGTGGGAAGTCCTTTCATTGCTAGCAGCAGGCTTTTGTGTAGCACCAGTGTGAGTGTAATGTGATCTCTGGTGTCAGTGGTTAGAAGGGAGAGGGTACAGTCAGACCTCAGGGTCGGGGGGCCCTGCAGGACTGGCAGCAGGCCTTTCTGTAGTACCAATGGGAGCACAGCTTCACCTTCAGCACCAGGGCACAGTTGGCTGTTGGCTTGTCCTGGCAGGAGTCTTCTACTGCTGCTGCTGCTGCTGCGGGGGCCGCCACTGCAGAAACACACAGGAGACACAGCTGCTCTGGTGAAAAGGAAACGGTGTAACTCACCAGAGCTCTGCAGGAAAACACTTTCCCCCTCTGACGACTCTGGGGGTTGATTTGGAATGGAAAGCTTGTTGCATCAGCTACACTATGTGTGTGTGTTAGTGTGTGTGTGTGTGTGTGTGTGTGTGTGTGTGTGTGTGTGTGTGTGTGTGTGTGTGTGTGTGTGTGTGTGTGTGTGTGTGTGTGTGTGTGTGTGTGTGTGTGTGTGTGTGTGTGTGTGTGTGTACCTGGAGCCTCCGTCAGACAGCTCTGGATCTCACAGCTCTGCCTGGCCTCCGGCCTGAGGGCCGAGTCGCAGCTGTGGCCCCTGGTTACAAGCTCCTCCCCCTGGTAACACTTTACTTCACGAACCTGGACGCCACTCCCACAGGTCTTACTACACTGAGGGGTGGAGGGGACAAGATTTTGGATTTATCTCCACATTTTATTCATGATTAAACTTCAGTTTAAATACAGATGGACCTACTTTAATAATAATAATATTAAGAAGAAGAACAACAACAACAGGAAGACATACTTAATTGATCCCAATGGGGAAATTCCGTTTTACCCTGTTAGTATACAAAGTAGAAATACACACATGCAAACAGTATATATACACATCAGGCCCAAAATACAAAGACATTCTTTGTTCTTTTATGGAAAGGTGTCAGGAGAAAAAAGTAAATGGTCTGCAAAGTTTAGGAAGTGGTGGTTCAGTGCCTTGCTCAAGGACACCTCTGAAGCTGTGGACATTTTTAAACGGCAGCTGAACACATCTTTTAGATTAGCTTTTTGTTGACTATAGCTAAAGTGCTATACAAATACAGCTTTGTTATTAATATTTCCATACATTCAGTGTGTTTTATGAGAATCAAACCAGTGGAACTCCGGTTCCCAAGCTAAGTCCCGACAGCCTGAATTACTGCACCCAAAATACATAGCAATAACAAATCTCACACGGACACTATGTCAATATGTATGAGGGTGCAGGAATCTGGCCTGAGACAGACAGCTGGACAGTTACCTGGGACCAGGACGTGGTGAACCACTTGGAGCAGGGTCTCTGGAAGCAGGAGGAGCTGCTCTCTGGTCTGCTGCCCTGCTCACAGCTGCTGTCTGGAGACTCTTTGAACACACCGGCCTCCAGCCCGGCACACACCACCTGCCGCTGCCGCACCCCGCGCCCACATGTAGCATTACACTGACACACACAGAAAATGTTTTGCTGATTAAATTACTTTTCATTTAGCTGACACTTTTATCCAAAGTGAATTACAATGGATGCGATAAATGACAAGCATAACAAACTCAGAACAGCAAGATAAACGCTAATAGATTAGTTTCATATTACCTTAATCTTTTAAAAACAACATTTTCTTTTTTTTGGTGAAGTTGCAGTGGAAACAGGTTTACGGAATTGTGTACCTGTTGCCATTCTTGTTCCACCCAGTGGGGGGCGCAGTCTCTGTCTCCACAGGGATAGATGGCTAGCGGGCGCAGTGATTGGTCACACTGCTCCTCTGACATCACCACCCCCTCCGATGATCGACACGTCACCGCACGCGCCATCCTCCCCTCGCCACACACACCGGAGCACTGGCACAGTGACACACCATTTTTATCAAACATTTGTAACGTGCACTTAATATTAAAGGAGAGTGTGTGGCGTGTGTGTGTTCAGTGTGAGTGTGTTGTTAAACTCACAGGCCCCCAGTCAGAGAAAGTCCATCTTCTGTCGCAGGGCGGAGCTTCACATTCCTCACTTTCTATTGGCTGAGAGGACTTGTTACACAGTCTCATCTCCATGGAGCAGCGCACCTCCCGAGTGCGAACGGCCCGAGAGCCACAGCGCGCCGAGCACTAACACACACACACACACACACACATATACAGTATGAACACACAGGTGCAGAGATCAATACGGCTAAGTCCCTCAGCTGTCTGCATTATGTTACAGCAGTCTAAACTCAGCATTCAATCTTCAGCAGCTGTCTGTTAATTATAGCACTGCACCGACTCTTACTGTCATAGTCGCAGCGTTTATAAGGGTTCAGGATGCTAACAGGAGAATACAGTAGTCAGAGATGGATACATGCAGAATACTATTGCTAAAATATTGTAGTTTAGTGAAAGTTTGAAAGCAGCACAGGGTGAGGCTGCCTCCCTGTGTGGAGATCCTGTAGAGCCGGTGTGCAAACATTTGAGCTGTATTTGGCTCTCCCAATGACTTAAGATTAATAAATGGATGGATGCCATGATTATAATGTTGTTCTTTTAATGGTAGGTCTTAGATTTCAAGATTTGTTTTGGGCTACCAGTGGCTTTCTTTGAGAGACATAGTTGAAAGAGAGAGACAGGGGAAGACGCGTGTCATTGGTCCCTGGCGGTACTGAACCTGATCCAGCTACATGGGCTGCCTCCTCTACTAAGTGAGCTATACGGCGGCCCAACAATATCTCCCTTTGTGTCAGGCACTCTGAGTTCATATGCTGGCTCATGACTTCTTATGTTTCTATCATATTTTATTATTTTTATGATTTATTAAACATTTGACTTTACGTATTTTATCTTTAATAGCCGCGTTCACACCGGAGTACTGTTCACCGTACTTTTCGTGTTTAGTTCCGTTAGTACGGTTAGTAATTTCTAATAAATGATTTAATTATGAAAAATAAGAAGTGTACATTTAAAATAGAAAAGTGACAATTACAGATGTTGAATATCTACTAGGTAAATGTAATGATAAACCACCAGGAGTGGATAATTTAGTTGGTACATTTCTTAGATATGTTGCTAATTTTGTTGCAGAGCCTATCTGTCATATTATAAATTTGTGTATTGATAAATGTATTTGCCCACAGGCATGGAAAATAGCAAAAATTATTCCACTTGCAAAAAATCCAGCTGGACCATTTTCTGGTACAAATAGCCGCCCAATAAGTTTATTACCAACGTTAGCAAAGATAATGGAGAGAATAATTTTCAATCAAATACAAACATACTTTGAAGGTAACAAACTTAATACTGTGTATCAACATGCTTACAGACCTGGCCATTCGACATGGTGGTTAGAAAGTTACCTGACAAATCAAAGTCAAACTGTTTTTTTTAATGGAAGTCTCTCAAAGATGAAAACAGTCACTTGTGGAGTACCTCAGGGTAGTTGTTTGGGACCACTTTTATTTTCTATTTTTACAAATGACCTACCATTAGTGTTATAAAAAGCTAAAATTGTAATGTATGCAGATGACTCAACAATATATTATGCAGCATCAACTACAAGAGAGTTGACAAATGTTATGAATAAAGATCTACTACTGATATCAGAGTGGGTGAAAAATAATAAGTTGTTACTTAATGAGGGAAAAACAAAATCATTATTAATAGGATCAAATCATCAGTTAAAAGGTGAACCAAAATTGCAACTACATTTAAACCATATTGAAATTGAACAGGTCAAGGAGACACAATTGCTAGGTATAACCCTGGATCATAAATGATCTTGGTCTAAACAAATTGATAATGTTGTATGTAAATTGGGAAGGGGTGTGTCACTTGTAAAAATAATTGTAAAATATTAGCCAATGGATGTCAGTAGACAAGTTTTGGATGCGTTGGTTCTGTCGCAGCTTGATTATTGTAGCACAAAATAAGGCAGCACGATGTGCACTGCAGTGCTCCTACAGAACCAGAGTCACTGAAATGCTGGAGACACTGAAATGGTTAACTTTCAGACAGAGGTCAACTTATATTTTGTTAAATTTTGTCGGAAATATTACAGTGACTCACTCACCAGATATATTATCACAAAGGTTTATAGCGCAATATGCACAACATAACTATCAAACACGACATACAATAGAAGGAAGGATTATATTACCCAAATCTAAATCAAATATGGGACAGAAAACAGTCATGTACAGAGCCATGGTCAGCTGGAACTCTTTCCACATCATTCAGGAAAATTCTCAAGTACATTTCAAAAGGTTGCTAAAAAATTATTTAAGTATTATAAAGTAAATTTGAACTGTGTCTGTGGCTATGTATGCATATATTATTATGTACACTTATTTGTATTTACTTTTGTTTGGCCTTAGGATGGCGATAATTGGATGACCATTTTAGTTTTCACTTCATACAGCACTGTAAATTGCATGAAATTATGAGCTGTTTTGTTTTGTTTTAATTTTGTTGTATGTATGTTTATGTATGTTTTGTGTGTGTGAGGACCCCAGGAAGAATAGCCAATGCTCATGCTAGTGCTAATGGGGATCCTAATAAAGACATAAACACATAAAGTACCCCTTATGTCGCATTCACACCAAAAAGAGCACTTAATCTCGGGAACTTTTAGCCCCATTTTTAGTGCCTGCTGAGAGATGGTACTTTCCTGGGGAAAAAAGTGCTCCAGTTCTGATTGGCTGGGCGAATTGCAAACCACGCCCCGTACAACTCTGAAATGTTTTGTAGAGCCGCCATTTTATTATCCTGGCATTAGCATTATTAGCATTAGCATTCGCCCAGTGCACAAACGCAGAGAGACTAACTCATGGCAACACAAAATAAAACATGGGAGCGGTGGAGATGAGGAGGTGTCGGTGTTCTGGCGATTTACTCGGAAGGCTTCAGTAGAAGCTGCTGGGAGTCCCAGCAGCTTCTACTGAAGCCAGTCCCCAACTCCGGGGACTTCCGGCCGGGGACTCCGGGTGGCAGTATACACCGTGAAGTTGTTTGCGGCCTGCCAGTAAACCCAAAGCAGAAGAAGACGAAGTGACGTCAGCGGCACATTTGCGTAATCTGAGTGCTGGCACTAAATACGGCAAAGTACTTGGTGTGAACGCGGCTTTTAATAGCACATTCTTACTTCTTATGTTTTAGCAGCAACAGGATTAAGGTAGAAACATTTAAAAACTTTTTTTTTTAATTGTAATCTATACTGTCACTTGATTTTGATTTGTTATTCTAATTGTCCTTGTGTGAACACAGACCTGTCCTATGCTGTGTTTGTATCTTCTGTATTTCTGATCCTGATAGAAGACATCATAGTTCATAACGGTATCAGTGGCTGGGGGTGTTACCTCTGACCACTCGGACACCTCCCACTGGGGGCCGCAGCTCTGGCCGTGGCAGACCTTTCTATTGGCCGGTTTGTGAAGGTCATGTGTCAAACACAGGGAGTCGTAGACTGACGAGTCGAGTCCAGGCGACAGCATCTTCCAGCAGCGCACCGTACGATACTGAACGCCCTCCCCACACGTCCGGGAGCACTCACTCCACCCACTGGTCTCCCACCTGAGGAGAGGGGAGGGGGACAGGTCATGTCTGATGTTTAACACAGTGAATACAACCACATCAAGAGAGGTCCTTGCTAATTCAGCTGACACTGATTTTGTGTGATATCCTTGTTTGATTATTTAAGGACATTTGTAAGCCACAATGTGTAGAATGCCAGCTAAATGACTAGTCTACATACAGTATGTTATATAGGGTCAGATCCCTGTCCTAAACAATATATTAACGTAACGTAAAAAATCTAAATAGGCTTGTCGTATTGTCATACTGATATTCTGTACAAACTGTGAAGTCCACTGAGACAAATGTAACATTTGTGATATTGGGCTATATAAATAAACATTGATTGATTGATTGATTGATTGATTGATTGATTGATTGATTGATTGATTGATTCTATAAAATGAATGGATGCCTTTCTTCTATTAAAGGTGGGGTATGTAATTTATTTCAGAAAAACTTTTTGTTATATTCCATGGAATACTCTTAACATCCCGATAGCAATGAATACATTAAATGCTTTGACAATAAATACATAAAAAAATGTCATCTGTGGAAGCCGTGGCGCTGTAAAAAGCACGACCAATCATCTGAGCCGGCCCGGCTAAAATAACTGGATGGCCTACCTGCCTGTATGCCTTCCATCTGTGCACAAACTTATCTCGTACCCTCATTGGTCATGTGCGCGTTCGTGTGTTGGAGGAGGGGCTCTGTAAGGAAGTCTGAAGGAAGAGGCAGATTTTTTCCGGTTGTGTACTTTCAAATTCTAGCGCACTCGAACTGGTTTCTCCAAAATTACATACCCCACCTTTAAGCGTCAAACTATTTTGCAGTATTCCTCCATGTCCGTGCTGTTGTGAATTGTCGGGGGGAACACTGTGTGTCATGGAGCATTACACTTGATCAATAATGATATATTTTGGACCCATCATTGTCCTCTGTATCAAACCTTATTACAGACAAGGAGTAAAAAAAAGAAAAAGTGCTCCTCACAAAGCTGACTTATTTCAATTTTTTGGCAGATTCAATACATCGGTATAAGTCTTACTTATCGAACAGAAAACAGTGTGTTTTGGTCAACGGTACCAAATCCCCCTACCTTGTGAACCCTGTTGGGGTTCCACAAGGTTCTATTCTTGGACCGTTACTGTTTTCTCTGTACATTAATGACTTGCCTAATGTATGTCCTGAGTTGAATGTGCAAATGTATGCCGATGATGCGGTCATCTTTGTACACGGGAAGAACACTGAAATGATCTCATGTTGTCTCTCAAAAGCTTTGGACAAGGTTCAACACTGGCTGAACAACATGTGCTTACAGTTAAACGTAAAAAAACAGTATGCATGATGTTCAGTAAACGACCAGTCAAAATCGAAGGATCCAACGTGTTTTTAAACGGAGCAGAAATAGAACTAGTCTCCCACTTCAAGTATCTTGGAGTCATACTGGACTCGAACTTGACTTTTAAGAAACATATCAAGAAAGTATCAAATACCATTAAATTCAACTTGCAACATTTTAAACAAATTAGACCTTTCTTAACTGTCAAGGCTGCAAAGTCATACCTCCACTGTATGATTCTATCCCACATTGAATACTGTTTGACAAACTGGTCGTTTGCTTGTGCCACCAACCTGAAACCAATAGAACAGCTGTACAAGAGAGCTATCAAGGTGTTTGACAGAAAGCCTTATTCATAACACCACTGTACCATCCTTGATAAACACAATTTCTTAAGTTTTGACAATTTTAAGTCTTTTAAAAGTATGTGTTTTATTTATAAATGTTTACATGGACTGGCCCCCCCCCCCTTAGGGGAATTCATCCACAGAAAACACGCTGGACGCTGCACTAGGTCAGAAACCAGAGGAGACTGTGAGGTCCACCGTAGACGGACCACTTTTGGACAAAATGTCCTCTCCATTAAAGGCAGCTCATTGTGGAATAGCCTCCCAACTGAGATACGGGATTGTCCCACTCTCAATAGCTTCAAAGGTCAACTCAAAGAATGGTTGAGAAACAACCAGACGTGCAATCACCGCTAAATGCACTTTAACACAGGGGTATCTCCTCTTGCACTTTAGGTAGCTCTTGTATCTTCTCTGGCACTTTACATGTCGTTGCTGCTATATTGTACTGCCATGTCATAAATACTTGTGTATGCTGCTCTTGCTCTTTTGCACTTTTTGCATAATCATGTATTTTGTTTTTGCTATGTTTGTAAAATGTAATTTTCTTAAATGTTTTATGTGAGGGACTGCAGATGGAAATTAGCTCAAAGCTAAATCTGGCACTGTTACGCTTGACACATTTTAATGTTTTAAGTGTTCATCACTGTGCATTGTTCCTGCCAAATAAACGATTAAATAAATAGCCATGTCATTTTATTGTTTTATAACTCTCCAAACTATCCCACATTGTATCAATATTTTGAATCTAGTAGCTACATTACATCATCCAGTAACAAGTAACACATGAACACGATCTAATGTTTTGTACTTGCTTTTGATAGTTATCGTGTATAAATGTTGTTTCTGTTCTTGCAAATGTTTATTTTTCTCAGGTTTGTCATGCTCAACAAAATTGATATCTAAATCAGACTACTTGAATAAATCAAGATTACATAAACAAAGTAGATAACGTCTCCAGAGGCCTGTACTACGAAGCCGGATTTTCGCTTAGCCGGCTAACTTCAGGGAAAACTCTGGGTTTCCGGTCCTACGACGCTGGTTCTCTTTTTAGCAGGCTAGATCTTCATGGTAACTTATGCTGAGCGGCAAACCTGCTCCGGAGCAGGTTAGGTGGCAGGCTAAGAGATCAACTCAGTGAAAGCACCGCCTGCTGACCAATCAGAGCTCCGTGTGCGGAGTTTAAAGCGATCAATTCATATTACAGGATAGAGGAAATACAGAAAAACTGCCGTTGCAGGAAAGACGGCCGGCAAAAATCAACTGACTGTGTGAACGTGAACATTAATAGAATATCACCTCCCATCTTCAGAGCAATCTGACTATTATAATATTAGCGTTAAGAAAGCTTACTTAAATATCTGCCACGACATAAGTAACCGGATCAGAGTAACATTAAGTACAGTCCGCGGCACTGTGAGTGCAGACGTTGATGTGTCCCATTATCATTCATATCATATCACATCATAATGTATCATATATTTCCTTATCTGAGTCAGCTGAGCCGTATCTGGCCGTGCAACACTCACAGTGTCACATACTGTATGCAGAAGTATTATTTTAAGCAACACATTAAGTTGACGAAACACTCGAGTCAAATGTAATTAAAGTCAGATCCACTCGTGTCTTAGACGGGGCAGTGATATCATAAACCTGTTAATGTACGCATTCAAACACTTTTTCTTTTACCAGCTGTATTCACCTTGCAGGTGCAGCTATGTGGCTTTGATCCTGGATAAAGTGTTTAAGACATGGATGTTTAAAGTTTAACTTCTTCATATTTGACTAATATTAAAGTTCACTTTTCATTCAGGAAGTATGACGCTGCACTGTCAGTACGCTTGTCCATGTTTGTGATTGGTCGAATGCTCCAAATACCACCCCTTTCATGTGAACGCGCACCTAACTAGATAGGACACGGCTGGCTTGAGCGATCCACTTGATAACCCGCGTCGTAGTACAGTTTAGCCAGAGCGCGTATGTTTTGGATTAGGCCAACCGGCTAACTCAAACATATCCAGGTTAAGTTGAACCAGCTTCGTAGTACAGGCCTCTGGTCTAAGGACAGACAGACAGACAGACAGACAGACAGACAGACAGACAGACAGACAGACAGACAGACAGACAGACAGACAGACAGACAGACAGACAGACAGACAGACAGACGGTACCTTGGAGGACACTCCTTCCCAGTGCAGAACTCATGTGTTGGCTCAGGTCTGGTCAGAGAGTCACAGTAACTGTCGTCCACCTCACTGCCGTCATACCGCACACACAGGGCATAACTGGTGGTGATACCTAGAAACATACACACACAGACTGTTTACACATTCAAGGAGCTACACTGTTTACATGTACTTTATCTATAGCTGATTCAACTAAAGCTTGGTAAAACATTTTAGTAGAAACCCAAAATATTATTATTAACCATAAGCAGAATCTGTCCCCATTCACATTAAGTAAGTCAAATTTATTTATAAAGCGCTTTTCACAGACAAAGTCACAAAGTGCTTGACAAAACATTAAAACATCATAGGAATTATAAAATTATAAATGACCACACAAGCCACGTGTTAAGAAGTGCTAAAAACACAAAACACAATAAAAACATAGGATAAAATAGAATAAAATAAAAGCACACAGATGACATTAGTCATCCCTTTCACTGCAGAGAGTAATACAGTGTGAAGTATTGCCATGGTTACCTGTAAACTAAATGATCATGTATTAAGAATAATGTTTAAACTGGGCTCTGTCTCTGTTTTCTGATGTGCAATATAAAACATCCAGTCCATCCGATCACATACTGATATTTTCTTTAACTAAGCTTTTGAATCTGCATTATCAAAACACGGAATAAGTGTGTGTAGTTACATGTTGTGAGTGTGTGTACCTGTTGTGCAGGTGGAGCTGCAGGGAGCGTACGCAGAAACCTTCCAGCGGTACATGTCCGCCAGACTGATGTCGGGCTCCAGACCCACATCAAAGTCATTACTGCAGGGACACAGACAGGCACATCTTTCACATTTACACTTGATTCAATACAAATGATCATGCTGTGAGTTCATTCAGTTATGTAACAGTGAGGGAAACAACTGGAGCATAAGTAGGGTCACACTATTGGGAAAAAATAAGTAATTGCAATTATTTTGAGGTAGAATATGATTTGTGGGCCAGTATATCTCTGCAGCTCCACGCAATTCAAATACAAATTGTATATACACATATAAAGCCTTTAAAACATATTGTGTGTCCTGCAATTTGAATATTGCACCAGGACATGTAATACTTTCTATTATGTCAATTACTTCTGAAACCCTGCAGGCAAACTTGTACAACAGCCACTAAGATACAAGATCATAGATAGGACTGATCTTAATGACTTACACAATTAGATATAATATCTTTCGTATCTTATATTGACCTATTAAAAGCTATAATAACATGTTATATCTTATCTATTAGCACAGACAGCAGTTAGCTCGTACCTCTCAGTGTTTGCAGCCTGGATGGAGGGCCCCTGCTGCAGCTGTACCAGGACCCCAGTGTGTGTGCCACTCTCTCTTTCGGTGTGTGTAGCAGAGTGTGTGTCTGTGAGCATGTCTGAATGTGTTTCTGTTTGTGCTAGTGAGAGTGGATCAGGGAGTGTGTGTTCAACAGAGTGTGTGTTTGACTGAGTGAGGGAGTGTGTGTGTAAGTGTGTCTGGTTGTAGTGCAAGTCCTCCAGCAGCAGATAGGGGGCGTCTTCTGGCAGCGCTACAGCGAGGACACACAAATGGAGGTTATTATTCAGATGTATCATATTCTAAAAAAATGTTTTTATTTAAATATTCTTCTACATTTGTGTTTCTATATTTTGGAATGTTTGCTTCTTTCTTTAATTAATGTAATTACTTTTGACATGTTTGCTTTACTTGCACTTTTTTATTGAAAGATGTAGAATTACATCTTTCAATAAAAAAGTGCCAAAGGTATAATGGAAAATATTAAAATATTTCCATTAAAAATGTCCCTTGTATCAGAACAGGATATTTCAGTTATCATCGTTTGAATTTTTTATTTTCCTAAAGGTATTTACTATACTGGAGCTCAGTCTCTGCTTTGATTTCGGCCTGCTGTCCCTTTGTGGTCTAATTAAGGCTAAGCTGGCCCACAAGTATTCCTGTAATATATATATATATATATATATATATATATATATATATATATAAATATATATATATATATATATATAAAAAGCTTCATCAGTGTCTCCTACCAGGGAAAGGCAGCACCAGAGTGTTGTCATCTGCAGCGGCGGGCTCGTCAATTGAGTTGGAGGAACTTCCTAAATGAACAGAAACAAAAAATCGGAGAAATAAATCAAATACATAGAGAACAATAATGTCCGACAGACAAAACAGACAGACTTCAACATGAACAGGTTACTGCCAGAGTACTCCATGGTAGGGATTTGTTTCTTAAAGCATGAGGGAGGCTAACTATACGTTTCCAAATCGGTCGGCTTTCACACCAGCGCATTTCCCTTTCTAGCTCCGAGCTAGAGCTTTTCTGGTTCAGCTCCGGTTTCCCTTTTCTGCTCCCGCTCTGTTCACACCGCCCAGAGCCCGACTGGTGCTGCCGCTGCTGCGTCATGACGTCACCGTTTACATCGCTGATTTTCTCCCCAACGGAGCTCACTACAACAACAATGGGGGACTGCGTCGGGTCGATGATCGTGTTGCTTTTAATCATACGAAGCCATATTAAATTAAATAACGACTTCTCCAACCTTATACTTTTCTCCAGAGTGCCGTGGTTCATTGTTTATTAATGTGTTTCAGCGGCATTTACCGACCGCTGCAGTGCTGGCTGCTCTTCCACGGGAGTGTATTCTCCCGTTAGCTCCGGGTTAGCTCACACGGCTCTAAAGTATTCACTGTCTGACTGTCACACAAGCAGCTGATACATATCCCCAGTTCCCCTTAAGTGAATGTGTGTCAGTCTGAATTGACGCTGTTTGGCATCACAACGCTGTTATGAAAGTTTCTCTGGTATAACTTTATAAAGTGTGTTTTTTTTTATAAGTGTGTGGTTGCCTTCTAGTCACTTTGCTCAGCGCTACTGCTTGTAGGCAGGCATGACGAGACTCTTCAGTTGACCCATGTTCAGGGGAGGTGGGTTTAGTTTCCTGCACGCCTCGACGTAAGAGACAATTTTTTGGAGCTGGAAGTGAACCGCATTCCGGAGCTAAGCCGCCGCTGCGGTGTGAACAGGAAAAACCGGTACTTTTCAGGCTCTAGCTCCGAGCCGGAGCTGAAAACGCGTTGGTGTGAAAGGGGCATCTGTGTCATTGGCCAGGTGTGCATTAGAGCTAAAAGATACATTGGCCAGGATGGTATACGCTTATCCTCATTTTGGCTCTTATGTCAACCAATAGGTATCGAGAGTAAGCAGTACACAAAGTGAAACATAGTTTGTCCGCCAAAGAGTTTGCTTTGAACTCAACAATTAAAAGTTCACAAGAACGAGACAATCAGACCTGGAAACATGAAGCCCCTGGCTGTTTGTGGCGCAGAGGCAATACAAAAATAAAAGGCTGAACTGAAGACAATGTGTGACTCACGGTATCCAGAGGGTCCTGGGGGTCCTGGCTCCTCCACATCATTATGGCTGAACACATGACTGGTGACATCAGCAGCTCTGTACAGCAGGATGGCAGCAGGAGGAGGGGGGCTGGGGGTCCTGATCTCCCACACTTCCTCCTCCTCCTCTTCCTGCAGCTGGACATCTGATTGGTGATTGACAGATGTTACGCTCCCTCTGCTGTGATTGGTCGCTATCATGTCCCCGTTCACCCCATTATAAGTTAGGTTCACATGTCCAGTAGTGATGATTTCTGCAGCGCTGATGTCATGAGGTGTGCGGGGGGTGGTATATTCAAAGGTGATGTGGGGGAGCTTCCCATTCAGGTTGTAGTACTTTGTGACCAGAGAGAAAATCAAAAGGTAAAATACTTCATACTCATTCCTGCATGAGACACACATGTTCTTGTGCAAGTGTGTATGTGTGTGTGTCCATTCGTGTGTGTGTGTGTGTGTGCGTGGGTGTGTGTGTATGTGTGTGCGTGTGTGTGTGTGTGTGTGTGTGTGTGTGTGTGTGTGTGTGTGTGTGTGTGTGTGTCTCAGTAGGCTGGTGTGTGTGTGTGTGTGTGTGTGTGTGTGTGTGTGTGTGTGTGTGTGTGTGTGTGTGTGTGTGTGTGTGTGTGTGTGTGTGTGTGTGTGTGTGTGTGTGTGTGTGTGTATACCATAACATTGAGGCCCTGTAGTGTGGGTCCCTGGGCGGTGATGTACTCCAGCCCATCAGAGAACACATTGCCTGGACGTCGGTATTTAAACACTGTTCCTGCCACATGGAAGTTTTGTGGGTTGTCAAACACTGTGTTTCCGTTGAAGAAGAAATGACCCGCTTCATCTGACAGAGCTGGATAGAAGGGAATCAAACAGTGCTATTCAGAACTGGGTCAGAACCCACAGACAATTATGTCATTTTCAAGAATTTGTTTTGGAAAGTCCCGTTAGCGTTAGGGCTAGGGTTAGTGAAATCTGCAGTCAATGTTTAGCTAGCTAACCTTTTGCTAATATGCAACCATTGTTAACATCGTAAAAGCACTCTGTTGATATATACTCAGTTTATTGACCTTAAAGGTCCCATGTCATGCTTTTCCGGTTCTTACCCGTCCCCTTGTGTGTTATGAAGGTTTGTATGCATGTAAACGGTCTGCAGAGTCAAAACCCCTCAAAGTACACCCTGTAGGGAGTAAAACTCTAACACAGAAAAGACCTCCCCAAAACGCCTCGTTGGAGATTTCTCATTTTCCTATGTTTTCTTCCTGGGTATCGTGACGTAGGGATACCCAGTAGCCACGCCCAGAGCTATGGCCGCACCCTCTGCCAGCCGAACATATATACTGTTGGAAGCTCAGGTTCAGTTCAAAACTGTATCCAGTCATGCCAACGAGGGTCTGTTTCCTGTCCTGAAATCTTCAATGTATGCCTTACCGAGGGCAGAACCACGACGAAGTCAGTGGTTGACATTTCTTGTTAACACTGTTCCTTCAGATGTTCGAGTCGGTATTGTACTGTGTGCGTGGCATTTCACGGACCAAAGCTTCGCAAACATTGCAGCGATTCATGCCGGATATGCACAGCGTAGGGCACTGAAGGACGATGCTGTTCCTACTTTGTTTGGACCAGCGGGAGATTCGGGTACACAACCTGTAAGTATGCATTGTTGTTTGTGTATTTATGATGTTTAAAACAAACAAGGTATCTACCACGACTGTTTAAATGGGTAAACGTTTTTCGGGCTGCTAAGCCATTGACACAGTGCTAACTGTGCTAACTAAGTTGTTAGCGTTTCCATATATCAACTCCAATATCAGCAGATGGCCTTACATACATGTATCTCATAGCAGGAGAATGTCTGCATTCACACACAAAATACTAATAGACAGTATACTCCGGGTGATTTACCGTACGGTCAGTCGCGAAACTTCATTACATTATAGTTGGCGTTCCTAGCGTGTATGCTACAGAGCTAAACAAGAAGGCTACCAAGAGCTAGACATGCTAGGGAAAACATTGTTTTTATGCCAGCTACAATGAATGACCGAACGTAGCAGACTACCCGTATAAGATTGCAATTGTAAACATGTTCTTGCTAGCCTAATATGAACCACTAGCTGTTGTTCATAGTAGGTTGGCATATTACACTGAACAACTAGCAAACGTAGGTTAGCATATTAATCTAGCTGGCAAGCTAACGAACCTAAAACAACTAAGTTTCTCTAATATTTTGTGATTTGCATTTGATTTTGTCCAGCCAGATCAGGAAACTCCTGGCGTATCTGGCGGACAACACATGACGGGATGACCCACTCTGATGGCTCATCCTAAAAAGCCCCAGCACCAGCTTACAAAGCTGCGATAGGCAAGATGCCGAAAATGCCTATAAGGGGAGGAATGGATGATATACAGTGTATATATATTTATTTACACATGTTCATTTTGTACATTTCTAAAAATAAAGTTTGATGGAAATACTTAGTAGCCTTTCTTCCCTGAATTATTTGCTCCTATAACATATCATTCATATATAGCAAACCATGATTTGATTTTTCATCAAACACAGTAGTAATTTATTACAGGTAAAAATAACTTACTCTTCTTCCGTTCTACGCCTCAAAGGTCTATAATCGACTCCGTACATGTTATGGAGGTTCTGCAGGGTGTGGGGTATGTATGGTGTATATCTTGGCATATAATGTTGTGTGCTACTGTTGGTGTTTTCAGCTAGCTGGCTACATAATGTTGTAACTGTCAGCTAGGCTACCTTTCTAATTTCTTTGCAACAGACGTTTTCCACTTCGGTAGGCATCATGGCGCAGTTTCCACAAGTGCACCTAAATAACAACAGTTGTAGAGTTCGGTTAGTTAGCGTATAACATATACGGCTGTACCGACGCCATTGTAAAACTGATGTTCCGCTCAGAGCCGAAAAAAGCACTGTGTTAGACATGGGCGGAGCCTCTCTGGTGGTTGACTAATCAGAACAGAGTGGCCGAGCTGACCAATCGGAGCTCACTCTGGGCTCAAAGGGAGGGGGGGGGCAGGAGCTCCAACAAGCCGTTTAGGACAGAGAGTGAATACACATACTATACAGAGATGCTGTATGAGAAACCAATGTGAGTTTGGAAAATTGCACAATATAAATCTATTTTAGTATACCTCAACAATGGAATTATGATCAGTAGAAATGGCCATGACATGGGACCTTTAAAGAAGACGTGGGTTCTTACCAAGGATGTTCTCGGTCTTGTGTCTCTCTATGATCTGAATGTCTGAAGCTCCAGCTGGGATGTTGGTGATGAACACATAGCCTGATGAAAGAAACACCTTTACACACAGGCACCATTTTTCAGGTTATGAACTTATCATCAGGGAGCAGGGTAAAACACATTGTGTACCAAGTCAAACAAGAGACAGACATATGGCTAAAATGTCCCAAACCCGTGTTTCTCTTGGGTCACAACCAGGATACCAAGATCTACAGCAGCTCCAGGGTCAGTTCTACTAAACCACAAAAACCTTCGTCTCCACTCACTAGTGGTATATCGCCATGCAGATACTTTAGTTTGCATACTGTGTGTTCATGTTTTTGAGGCTTTGGCTGGCTACCAAATAGGATGGAAACTTTATCATGTGTTTTTTATGTGGTCAGAGCATTAAAAAAAACATGTTAAAAAACTAAAAACACTGTTAATGAAGATAATCTAGCGTTTTGTTTTCTATATCAAAACAATAAAAAAAATGAAAATGTGTTTATCAATGTTAGAAACTGGATAACACCTAGAAGTACAAGACATTAGTTTTGTTGTGATTTAAACCATAGTGCTAATAACATGAATGAAAATTGTGACTAGATATACTATTTAACAACCAAACTTTCCACGATGAAGACAGGACATTAAAGAGATACAAATGATATAATTAAACAATAACTGTGAAAATATCTCAATACAGTATTGTTGATGCAAAAGGGGTGGCTAAAATGAACACGCAATACATTTTATAAAGTTTGACATCTCTCTATATATTCATTGAGAACATACAGAATGAAATGACATAGATGTAATCCAAATACATATTGGCATTGACTGGCTGAATGTTTCTCTTGCACTTGTTCTACCCACTCCAAACAAAGCACCTTGGTGGGATGCAGTCTGCAGTAAGAAGCCCTGACGTTATTCAAAAGCTCTTCCCTTTAACAGCTTCATGCTTCCACAGGCTAAGATTATGGAAATAACAAATGAAGTTACCTAACTATCGTGGAATCTGACCTGAATTGTAGTCACAATGACACAGTCAGCTTACTATCACCTTAAGAATATATAGGATTAAAGGACTTGTGTTTCAGCAGAATGTGTTTGTCTTCAGTAGACTCTACTACTGTAATGGTGTCTTTACCAACAAATCGATTAGAAAGCTGCAGCTGATTCAGAACGCTGCTGCTCGAGTCTTCACTAACACTAAGAAAGTGGATCAGTCCAGTTCTGAAGTCTTTACACTGGTTCCTCACTAACACTAAGAAAGTGGATCAGTCCAGTTCTGAAGTCTTTACACTGCTTCCTCACTAACACTAAGAAAGTGGATCAGTCCAGTTCTGAAGTCTTTACACTGCTTCCTCACTAACACTAAGAAAGTGGATCAGTCCTGTTCTGAAGTCTTTACACTGCTTCCTCACTAACACTAAGAAAGTGGATCAGTCCAGTTCTGAAGTCTTTACACTGCTTCCTCACTGACACTAAGAAAGTGGATCAGTCCAGTTCTGAAGTCTTTACACTGCTTCCTCACTAACACTAAGAAAGAGGATCAGTCCAGTTCTGAAGTCTTTACACTGCTTCCTCACTAACACTAAGAAAGTGGATCAGTCCAGTTCTGAAGTCTTTACACTGCTTCCTCACTAACACTAAGAAAGTGGATCAGTCCAGTTCTGAAGTCTTTACACTGCTTCCTCACTGACACTAAGAAAGTGGATCAGTCCAGTTCTGAAGTCTTTACACTGCTTCCTCACTGACACTAAGAAAGTGGATCAGTCCAGTTCTGAAGTCTTTACACTGCTTCCTCACTGACACTAAGAAAGTGGATCAGTCCAGTTCTGAAGTCTTTACACTGCTTCCTCACTGACACTAAGAAAGTGGATCAGTCCAGTTCTGAAGCCTTTACACTGCTTCCTCACTAACACTAAGAAAGAGGATCAGTCCAGTTCTGAAGTCTTTACACTGCTTCCTCACTAACACTAAGAAAGAGGATCAGTCCAGTTCTGAAGTCTTTACACTGCTTCCTCACTAACACTAAGAAAGTGGATCACTCCAGTTCTGAAGTCTTTACACTGCTTCCTCACTAACACTAAGAAAGAGGATCAGTCCAGTTCTGAAGTCTTTACACTGCTTCCTCACTAACACTAAGAAAGTGGATCAGTCCAGTTCTGAAGTCTTTACACTGCTTCCTCACTAACACTAAGAAAGAGGATCACTCCAGTTCTGAAGTCTTTACACTGGTTCCTCACTGACACTAAGAAAGTGGATCAGTCCAGTTCTGAAGTCTTTACACTGCTTCCTCACTGACACTAAGAAAGTGGATCAGTCCAGTTCTGAAGCCTTTACACTGCTTCCTCACTAACACTAAGAAAGAGGATCAGTCCAGTTCTGAAGTCTTTACACTGCTTCCTCACTAACACTAAGAAAGAGGATCAGTCCAGTTCTGAAGTCTTTACACTGCTTCCTCACTAACACTAAGAAAGTGGATCACTCCAGTTCTGAAGTCTTTACACTGCTTCCTCACTAACACTAAGAAAGAGGATCAGTCCAGTTCTGAAGTCTTTACACTGCTTCCTCACTAACACTAAGAAAGTGGATCAGTCCAGTTCTGAAGTCTTTACACTGCTTCCTCACTAACACTAAGAAAGAGGATCACTCCAGTTCTGAAGTCTTTACACTGGTTCCTCACTAACACTAAGAAAGTGGATCAGTCCAGTTCTGAAGTCTTTACACTGGTTCCTCACTAACACTAAGAAAGAGGATCAGTCCTGTTCTGAAGTCTTTACACTGGTTCCTCACTAACACCAAGAAAGAGGATCAGTCCTGTTCTGAAGTCTTTACACTGCTTCCTCACTAACACTAAGAAAGAGGATCACTCCAGTTCTGAAGTCTTTACACTGGTTCCTCACTAACACTAAGAAAGTGGATCAGTCCAGTTCTGAAGTCTTTACACTGGTTCCTCACTAACACTAAGAAAGAGGATCAGTCCTGTTCTGAAGTCTTTACACTGGTTCCTCACTAACACTAAGAAAGAGGATCACTCCAGTTCTGAAGTCTTTACACTGGTTCCTCACTAACACTAAGAAAGTGGATCAGTCCAGTTCTGAAGTCTTTACACTGGTTCCTCACTAACACCAAGAAAGAGGATCAGTCCTGTTCTGAAGTCTTTACACTGCTTCCTGTCTGTCAAACACATTGAAATACTGCTGCTGGTTTATGAAGCACTGAGGAGTTTATTCTGATCTCCTGCTACATTATGAACCATTCAGAACGTTCAGGTCTTCTGGGACAGGTCTGTTGCTAATATGTAGAAGCAGTGTTTAGTTATTGTGCTCCATATTTATGGAATTAATCCCAGAGAACTGCAGGTACACTGCAACTCTCACTTTTTTTTTAATCCAAGTTTAGGACTTTTCTGGTTGCTTCTGCCTTTTATTAGATCAAAGAATGATAAACATCTGCACATCTGTCTGCATGTGTGTTTGTGTGTGTGTTACCTAACTGTGTGAGTGCCTTCCTGTATGATCCAGAGATGCGCTGGCAGGACGTCCCGTTGCCTCCACACATTCCACACCTGTCTACTGTCCTACTGCTGTACAGCTCCCCATCACAACCCACAGCCTGGAGATAAAGAACAACATTAACAACACTTTAGTCCTCAGTACCATTATTAGGCTGCTAGTTATTTAGAGGATTCACTCATCCAGCCAAGAATCATTTGCTATAATGAGTGTAAAGACTACATCATTCATAGTAGTAATTCAGACAGAAAAATAAAATCCCATCTTTTCCATGTTGGGTTACCTGACATTTCCCCTCTATACAGACTCCGTGGTATTTGGTATCGCGGCAGAATGTACCATCATGTGCAGGAACTAGCAGCTGTCGCTCACCACTCATGGTGGTACACTGCAGGTCACATGGCTTATTGGAGATGCTGATGTAGTCAGCTACACAGGAAATTAAATATTTAAAAATATATTTATTTGAGTGACATCACATTACAAAGAGACTAACAGATTGAAGTTTACCCGGGTAGAGAGGGATCCACTGGTAGTATCTTCTTCCAAAGGCTTTAGAATTGAATTGGGAACACTGGTGCTGTTTGAAGCTTACACTGGGGCTGGGACAGGGCTGCAAACACAACACAGCACACATAAACATATAGAAAATACCTGCAGCATAATGTTTGTTCTACAGTGAGTGTCTCAATAAAGAATGAATCTCTTGAGTATCGAAATCATTGTAGCGCCATACCTGGTGTGGACAGAGTTGGTACTGTTTAGGAGATCCGACACAGTATGAACTGTTTATGTTCTGGGTGGTGGACAGCCTGAGGCAGAGACACAATGTAATGAACATACTGTATTACATGGACATACACAAGATGCTGACAATATTAGAGTCAATGGACATCCAGCACTGTTATCCCAGCATCATCAGAGGGGGATGATGGCCTTGGTGGCTCAGCAATCTAGTGTAGCAGGAGTATGCAATAGAGTGGCGAAGTCCCTCCCACTTACTTCCGGGGTATGGGACCTTATTCCGGAAAAGTTATGCATTGAAGTCAATGGGGAGAGAAAACTTATCTTTCGATCCCGTTTGAATTGTGCCATGAATTACACATATGATGTTTGTCAATCTTAAAAAATCATTTCCATGTCAAAAAAGTCACAGTTTGTCGTAAAACTGTTGAAATATAAGACTATGAAAAATACGTAACTAGAAAGACTACAAATCCCAGAGTCGCGTAAGTGATGTCACAATTGTTTACCTCCACCATTCAGATACCTAAGATCAGCGCAATATAGATATAATCTATCTATATGGCGCTGGCTAAGATAAGATAACTTTAACAAGATGCCTGTGTGCTTAGTACCAGGTTGTTATTATACCAGCAATGGGTCTTGCTCGTTCTTTTGCTTCCCGTCTGATGAAACGACCAGGAGTGGCTTGATCAAGTTAGCTACCTAGCTAGTAGCTAGCACGTTAGTTAGCATTACAGCCTTGTCATTTTTATTAGCCTTAACATGAAGTAACATTAAGTAACCCAAAATGTTAAACAGTAAGAGTAGTAGTCATATTTCGTGAACCCTTTGAATAGTACTGTCACCGGTGTGATCATTCTATAATACACCATTTAATTCCGGGGGAGAAATGCTAACGCTAACGTTAGCATCGGCGATCTTTTCTACTTCATGCCATCTGCACAAATGGTTGACATTAAACATTAAAACGACCAGGCAGTTCAGAGAGAATCAAAGGAAGGCAGGCTTTGCATGACATTCTTCAGGACGTGTTTCATTGTGGTGATAGTCAATCGTTTGTTGACAAGACAGTAGTGACGGCCATCTTGGTGACGTGTGTGGTTGACCAGAGATGTAGTTCATTGAGCCTTTCACACAAACAAATGTGTTACTTCACAGTTTTACGACACATTTTAATTTTTTTGACTTGCAAAATTATCTTTTAAATTGACAAACATCATATGTGTAATTCGTGGCACAATTCAAACGGGATCGAAAGATAATCTTTCTCTCTCCATTGACTCCAATGCATAACTTTTCCGAAATAAGGTCCCATGGGGCTCAACCGGAAGGGGAGGGACTTCGCCACTCTATAACAACTTCAGTTACTGTTTAATGGTTATTCCTTTCTAATCAAACGCGGAAGAATTTAAGAAAGAATATTTCTCAAATTGTTTCTTCATTCATTTGTAGGATGAATTAAAGGGGCCTTTTATGTTCATTTTCAGGATTATATTTGTACTGCCTACCTCTTTTCACCCTCTGTCTGAAACCAGAGCCCAGCATGCTCTGATTGGTTAACTAGCCGGCTCTGTTGTGATTGGCCAACTGATTAAAGATGTGTCGGAAATGTCCAACCTACTAGCCTATAGTTACAATGTGTTGAAGCGCTAGCCAATAGAAACGTGAGTGTTACATAGTGATGTTACTAGGTTACAGAAGTAAACAAAGGAGTCCAATGGAGGCGTTTCAGGCAGGGGGGGGGGGGGGGGGGCAGTGTGGCAGACAAACTCCCTCTGGAGGGAACACATGGATTTTAAACTTTGCAGACCATTTACTGTACAAAACCTATTGAACACACTTCAGGAGAGGGGAAAGCCCCAGAAAGCACAATAGGGCCTCTTTAAATGACTTGTCGGTGTGTTACATTCTGAATGGTAAAAGTTGGGTAAATGTCATTTGAGCTATAACTAATGTGATTCCATTTGTATTTGTAGTGGTTGTAAGTCAGAGGAAACATGACACACGATCAACACAAGCTGACTCTGAAGAACAACTTGAATGTGTTTTTGATAGTAAAGGAGTCATGATCTTATTATTCTCTTTAAGCCAGATGAAGGGAACACATCCAAAGGGTCTCAGGACTTTCAAAATATAGCAACATTTCGCAACGTGTAACATGTGTTTGCAAAAGTTGTACCAAGAAAGATCTGTCTAACAGTGCTGTAGTTTATAGTTAACATGAACAAGTAATGAAGGACAGATAGGGCCCAATGCATCTGTCTTCCATTACCATGCATGCACTGCACCCCCCACACACCTCCTCTGTCTATCTATCCGTGTCTTTCTTTCTTGAGCCCATCCTCCTACGCTGTTTAGGCACTAAAGTAGGAGAGACTGCAGGAAGAGGTGAGCTGGAGGTCACTATGTGAGAGTGTCACATCTAATTGGTAGAAGGTGATGAGGGTAAGACAGGAGAGGAAGAGGAGGGAGAAAAAAGGCGAAAAGGGGAGGAAATGAACGACAAAGATGAGAAGAGTGTGGGAAAAAGAGGTGAAGAGGAAAGAAAAAGAGTAAAAAATAGAAGGAGTAGAAAGAGGGGCAAACGTGAGAGAAGGAGAAGAACAAAGAGAGGAGGAAGAAAGGGGGAGGAGGGGGAAGAAGGCCAGCAGTGAGGGCAGGGTGGCGTTAATCTTGGTTGACAGACATTTCCGCAAGTCTGACAGGGAGAGGTCAAAGGTAACAAGATGGCTACAAACACACATTCTATCCTCTACCTAACTTCCCTCTGCCATGTCTCGACTCACTCTCCCCCCATGTGTTATTGCTGTGTGCATTTCTTTACATATTTTTCCTCTGGATCTATACATACATTGTTTGTACAAGACATGACACATAATTAAACAGCCAAATTAGCATCAAATTGGGTCTTATATTCTGAAGATTTGGGCTCTGATTCCCTGACAGCTGCCTAAACTCCATTGCAATACAAACGAGTGGTTGTCCACTTACGCTTGTTTGGTACTCTCCTGGCTCCAAACAAACCCACTTGTGCTCTGGTGCGGGATTGGTGCAGTTTAGGGTCTGTTTATTCAAAAGCATGGTGTTATTTCTGCGGTTGTATATTTCGATCTGCTTCACTGGCGTTAGATGTGCTCTCAGAAATCACAAAATAATGACCCTATAAATATGTTGAGTTGGTCTTGTCCAGTTGGCTATACACAACGTTCTGCTTAAAACAAGCACATTTCAAAGTAGAGTTTGAAACAGGCTGATTCTGATCAATTATCTCATGTAAAGGTTCTACAAAGGCTAAAATCCCTGTGTTTCTCTCCCACTCCCCCTGCCCCAAAACCATATCTGTATACCCTCATACAGTACACCCTTTTAACCGCTTGAATAAAACAAAAACAGATAGTAAGAGAAGAAAAATGTCGCCTTATAACAACATTACAGTCATAAACTCAACGTTAACTCTACAGCTGACAGTAAATATGGGCTGACATTTTATCTAGCACGATGTACAGCTTCTGGTCTGTTTGCTACTTTTGATGGGACTGAGTGAAAGGTTATAGAAGTTCAGCCCATCTCCACCTGTTACTTTATGCCTACTTCTTATATTTCCTCCAAGCTGTGCCTGGTTTGAACTACCACAGGTGCTTGAATTGATTGCTCACGTTCACATGCGTTTGCACACTGAGACTGTGCTGTTTTTTTAGCTTGCACTTAGTTTGGCCCTTACTGCACACAACATAGAAGTAATAATCCCTGTATAAAAGTGTGTATTCAACGATATCGTTTTTTGGACATACTACCTCTGTATGAGACAGTGCCTATCCTGACTCCTCACTCCTCCTCCACAGCTCCTGGAACAGGAGGACCAACTGGACCACTCTCCCCACCACTGAAACACCTCCTCCTGCCAGAAAATATACAAAACAGTGAGAAACAACAGTTACTGCCTGATGTTTGTATGCCTCCGCCAACCTGTCATGTTGCAGTTTACATACATGTCTCTCCAAAAAGATGTTTTATCCTAATAGACATTTGGGAGAAATTGTGATAATTAACATATACATTATTAAGTTATGGCCAAAAAACGTTTTGTGAGGTCACAGCGACATTCAACATTCAAATCAGATTCCAATCCGTCGTTAAGTCCGAGTGGATGTGTGCAACACATTTGAAGAAATTCCCTTCTGGAATTCAGTGTCACTGGATTGCATGAAGCACCCAGTCGTTGTTATTAAAGACCTCGACTCTCATTCTGTGTCACAATGATGAGCACTGAGGAAGAAATCCCCTGCTTTCAAGACAACATTTGAAAGCAGGGGATTTCTTGTGGGAAGCTTGGTAAACAAACAAATTGTAGATTTGTCTAAAGAAAGAATTCAACATTCTCCTACCATTGACAAAGTGGATGTTGACAACATTGGTCATTTTGAAACCAAAGCACAGTCTATGGAGTTATGTTCGCCTGAAGGGCCAGTCGGGCAGTGGATTTGAAAAAAAAGGCTTACTCCTTAGACACCAGGGTTGGGGTCGAGCGGTTTTTCTTTGCTTAGAAATGTTTGAACAGAATGAAATGACTGCAAGTGCTTAAGTGTTAGCCATGATAAAAGCTGTTTGAATTCTCTAGATGATAGGAAGTACCATATTTACCAAAGGGAAGGAGGTAATGCTGTACGACAGTACCGCAGCCCCAACATTTAAAGTGACTCACAAAGTGACAAACAGATCATGGAAGTTACGCTGCTTCTTATGCCATAGATTCCAGAGTATTTACATGTTTTTAAACTTTCAACAATATATTAAACCAAAAGTGGAAATATGAACGTCATACCAATTACTGTCAAATGGTCGATGAAGTCAAAATGTCACTGTTTATTGACTTGGATGGGTTTATTTCCACATGTTTGAATGGCGATATGTACAGCACACACAGTAGATATAAGTTATCCATATATTGGTTTAATATTATTTATTTAAATAATTTCCTACAATCATTCTAATAAGGATTTTTGTTGATAAATACGAGTGGAAAGGAGCAACCATTTCCTTTAACTTTCCATTTATTATTTATTATTTTATGTCAAACTTTGGTAATTAAGTTATATATATTTCACTGTTTTACACTTTTATATGAAACTACACAATTAGAATGCACAGGGCAAAGTATCCAGATGCGCAATTAGTAGTCCATCAGAGGAGAAATGATATTTCACCACGGCAGATTTCAATAACATCAGCTAGCGCATCATTATTACGTCTCCCAGTGTCCGTGCAGTCTCTTTTCCTAAGTCCTGATGAATCCTCTTACACATCTTTCCTTAGCCCTAAGATGTTTTTCACAGAGGTTTAGGAAAATAGTTTAGGAAAAGACAAAGCGTCTGAGTACCACACATCAGATCAGACAACCAAAGCAAATTTGTGGGAGCAGAATGTTAATTGAGAGAAGTTCTATCGGCTTTTAACCGAATATAAACTCATTACTTCAGTCTGTAGTGACATGGAGCTTCAACACGCTGCATCACATCATGGGAAAGAATCATTCACAACTCAGAAAGGCTCTGAACTTCATCAACAGAGTGTGGATGATGAAAGTTTGTAAACTCATGTGGGAAGTGGAAGCCTTGTGGAATGACAGTCCAATAACAAAAACACGAGCAGGACAAGAGAAGCATTGTCACAGAGGGATCCTGGTGTATGGGCTATATGTAGTGTGTGTTCAGTTACAGGTATGTAAATATTGCTGTTACTACGTCACCTGTGCACCCCCGGGTAATCCCAGTGGTCACATTACGTAGCTTACATGGAGTAAGTGGTGAACAGCTGGGGGGAATTAGGAACATGGATGTTTTTTACCGACTGGGTATGTGCATCTGTGTGCCGATTATTGGTTGTACGATATTTTTTCAAGCTTGTTTCTTTCTATCCATTCAGTGCATCAAGTTGTGTATATTAGTCAGTCTAAATGGCCTCACATTATAGTCACACAAACTTTACATCACACCTTTCTTAGAAGAGGAAGCAGATTTTTTGTGAGTGCATGAGTGTTATTACCTTGTTGCCTGTCTGTTTGACATGCTGACTTCCAGAGCTGTGTGACTGCAGATGGATGTTACGTTGCTCCACCCTCCCTTCACTTCTGTCCTGGCAGACACACAACACATACACACACACGCATATACATGATCATAGAACATATATACCCTGTGACCCCACATGTATCAGTTAGCTAGCTGCAGTTATTTGACCTGTTCATGGTCAAATAACATGTAAATTCAGCAGTAATACATTCTACGTGGGCCAAATTACGGAAAGGTAAAGCTGCGGTTTGATAGAACCATTCATTTTCAACACGGTGAGAAGAAGAAACTTTCACTTTTTCTATGTGATAATCTCATGAATAAATAGCATAGGCCTCCTCTTTCTTCTACTTTTCTTACAGAAATGTGAAAGACAGACCTGGCCAATCAATATAACTGAATTTAGTAAGGTGTAGGTTGTTGATCACAGACATGAATTTATTATTCCTTTTAACCATTTTCACCTAGATAAATGTTCAATAGTTAAGATTATATTATAATTATATAAGATACTATTATATTAAGATAGTATCTTAATATTTAGTTCATTTACAAAGTTTGGAACAGATAATAGACTAAGTCAAATCAAATATGCAGGTTTGTTTGGCCTATGGATGTCACAAGTTAGACACTTTTATTGTTGTTGTTTTGGTTTGGCACACCTTTAACTCTCCTGTCATTTCAGATCCCGCCTTCCTCCAGGCTCTTGCAATCAGCTCACTTCCCTCACCTGGTCTCCCCAGCCCTTCCCCTCACCTGTTACTCATTCCCTCATTACTCCACAGTATTTATATCACCTCACTCTCACCTGCCCTTTGCCAGATTGTCTTGTCAGTTCTGCCAAGCTCTCCAGTGGTTGCTATTCACTAGCCTATATTCCTGTCCTGCCCGGTTTTGACTCCGACCTGCCTGTAATCGGACCTCGAGTTCTCTGCCTGCTCCCTGCTCGGATTAGTTTGCCTCTCTGACGGATCGCCTGGTTCTGAGCCCTGTTCTGCCTGCCCCTTCTCGGATTGTTTGCCTTTCTGCTGGATTTCCTGGTTCTGACCCTGCCTGTCCCTGACCGGAATAAACGGAACATTTCTGAAACACTGCCTGTGTCTGTGTCGTGCTATTGGGTTCTGATCTGTATCTGTGAGCGTGACAGTACAATCTGGCCAACATGAACCCAGCCGACTCAGCGACAGAGCCGCCGACGCAAGATGTCATGTTACAACGCCACGAGCAGCAGCTTACCTTCATGGCTGAAGCTATGCAGGCGATGGCAGCTCGTCACGAACGGACCTTTGAGAATCTCCGTGATCATCTTCTGAACCGTCCTCCTACGGTCCTAAGTCCGGATCTAACTCCAGCTTCCGCTACTCGAGTCCAGACTCCTCCGGTGTCGGATGCACGCTTGCCTCCTCTGGAACGCTACTCCGGAGCCCCAGGTTCGTGCAGACCATTCCTGGTCCAATGTTCCCTCGCCTTCGAGCTCCAGTCTTCCGCCTTCCCAACAGAAAGGTCTCGTGTGGCGTATATTGTCTCTCTTCTCACGGGCAAAGCTAAAGACTGGGGTACCGCCGAATGGGAGAGACAATCCCTTGCCTGCTCGTCTGTAAGCTTATTCACCGATGAACTGCGGAAAGTCTTTGATCACGCTACGCCCGGAAGAGAGATAGCTCGGGGACTGTTTAACCTGGCGCAAGGAGGCAGATCCGTGTCAGATTATTCCATCGAGTTTCGTACCATAGCCGCCGAGAGTAACTGGAATGCTTCTTCACTCCTCGATGCCTTCTACAACGGTCTGTCGGATCGCATTAAAGACGAGCTGGCAGCTCGGGATCTTCCTGCTGACTTAGATGAGCTGGTGGCTCTCTCCATTCGCATTGACAGCCATCTTCGGGAGCGGAGGAAAGAGAGGGTTTTCTCCGCCGCTCCTCAAGCTCCGCCTCTTCCGTCTGCGCATGTTCCTGAACAGGTGAGAGGAGGATTTTCTAACTCTCCTGAACCAATGCAGCTGGGGCGGACCCGGCTCTCAGAGGCAGAACGACAGCGCCGCCTGCGGGAAAACAGCTGTTTGTACTGTGGCCAGGATGGTCATTTTGCCTCCTCTTGTCCTGTAAAAGGCAGGGCTCACCAGTCATCCAGAGGGCGCTGGTGAGCCGAATTATGAATTTAGAAATGCCCTCTCGACCCCTAATCCATGCTCAGCTGAGCTGCTCTGGGAAGATGCACACTGTGGCAGTTCTTATTGACTCTGGTGCTGATGCCAGCCTTTTGGACATAACACTGGCCTTCCAGATGGGACTTGGTCGGGAAGTTTTGGAAAAGCCCATCAACGCTACTGCTCTAGATGGCCGTCTTCTCTGCAGAGTCACACACCGTTCAACTCCTGTTCAAATGAGCATGTCAGGTAATCACAGCGAAACACTCTCTTTTCACCTTATCCATGCACCACATCAGCCTGTCATTTTGGGGTTTCCTTGGTTAAGGAGGCATAATCCTCATATAGATTGGGCTTCAGGGACAATTAGAGAGTGGAGTGCTCATTGTCATGCTGTCTGCTTAAAATCTAGTTCCTCTATTGATTCCAGTCAGCCGATTACCTCTGAGTGTCAAGACATTTCCGGTGTTCCCAAGGATTACTGGGACCTTAGAGAGGCCTTTAACAAGGTTCGGGCCACCTCACTCCCGCCTCATCGTGCTTATGACTGTCCTATTGACCTGTTACCTGGTACGTCTCCTCCTAGAGGTCGACTTATTTCCCTATCGGCTCCTGAAACTAAGTCAATGGAGAAATATATCAATGACTCTCTGGATGCAGGACTTATCCGGCCTTCATCATCTCCTGCTGGTGCAGGGTTTTTCTTCGTGGGTAAGAAGGATAAAACTCTGCGTCCATGCATTGACTACAGAGGACTAAATAACATCACAGTCAAGAACAGGTATCCCCTTCCACTTGTTTCCTCTGCTTTTGAACTGTTACAAGGCGCCAGTGTTGTAGTCAAGTCACCAATTCACGAGTCCAAGTCACTCTCGAGTCACCACTCTTCGAGTCCGAGTCCAAGTCCGAGTCACCAAGGGAGAGTCGTAGTCGAGTCCGAGTCCAAGTCCGAGTCACCCAAGGAATGTCCGAGTCGAGTCCGAGTCCGAGTCATCATTACCTGTGTTCGAGTCCGAGTCCAAGTCCGAGTCACCCAAGGAGTGTCCGAGTCAAGTCCGAGTCCGAGTCATCATTACCTGTGTTCGAGTCCGAGTCCAAGTCCGAGTCACCTAAGAAGAGTCCAAGTCAAGTCCGAGTCACAAGTCTTCATGTATTAATCTTCATGGATATATGTGTTGAAATGTAGCTGCTCCTCTACATTGCTTTTATCCTGTCATGTTATACTAATCTGTCTATTGAACTGCTGTGAAGCCAGTTTGGCTACAATTCTTGTAATAGGTGCTATACAAATATAAAGCTTATTACTAATATTAATATTATTATTATTATTATTATTATATATAAACTATGTTTAAAATGAGTTACCTTTTAGAGAAGTGATTATATTTGTATGCCAATATTTTCCTATGGTAAAGTTTTCGTTTTGCACTTTTATTTTGATAGTAATAAGATCGGGACTCTTATTTTGAAGGAACTTTTACCGGTTAAATCGGTTTACTGATAAAGATTTAGCCCCAGAAAGCACATGGCTACTTAGCATGCAAAATGACGTCATTCTGCATGTTAAGTAGCCATATGCTTTCGTGTAATCGGCTGAATCTTTATTTATTGATTAGATCACGTTACTCTGATGATAGTGTTCAAGACAGCCTATATGTCTGAACTCGATGTTTAGAGTAATGTGTTACGGAGCCTTCTCTTCAATATTGTTTCCACATAGAGCATTTTGCGCTGCTCTTTTCCAATGTGGAAGCAGAATGTGTGAAAGCATACAGCACGATGCGGGGTGTGTCTCTAGACATCTTTAGACTGGAATAGCGGGGCCCAGTACGTGAACTCGCCTCGCAGCCGGTGCACACGCCAGGATAGAGGACATCAGACTCCATAGAAAACTTGCTCGAGTCCGAGTCCAAGTCGGAGCGTCAATGTACAAGTCGAGTCCGAGTCATCATGGGGGGAAAAATTCACGAGTCCGAGTCCGAGTCCAAGTCAGCGTACGCGATAATTCACGAGTCCGAGTCCGAGTCCAAGTCATCGTGCGCGAGAATTCACGAGTCCAAGTCCGAGTCGCGTCAATCAGTGCGGGAGTCCGAGTCGAGTCACGAGTCCCGAAAATCGGCACTCGAGTCCGACTCGAGTCCGAGTCCAGGACTCGAGTACTCCATCTCTGCAAGGCGCTACTATTTTTACTAAGCTGGACTTACGTAACGCGTACCATTTAGTGAGAATCAGAGAGGGGGAAGAGTGGAAGACGGGATTTAATAATCCCAGTGGACATTATGAGTATTTAGTCATGCCTTTTGGACTCACCAATGCTCCTGCAGTCTTCCAGGGGTTGGTGAATGATGTTCTGCGGGATCTACTCAATGTCTGTGTTTTCGTGTACCTGGATGACATTTTGATTTTTTACAAGTCTAAACAGGAACATGTGGTTCATGTTCGCCTAGTCCTCCAGAGGCTTCTGGAGAACCACCTGTTCGTCAAGGCAGAGAAGTGTATGTTCCACACCACAGAGGTCCCTTTCCTGGGATTTGTGGTCACCACCGGAAACATCAAGATGGATCCTGACAAGACCAAGGCGGTGACTGACTGGCCATGCGCAAGGAGCTCCAACGCTTTCTGGGTTTTGCAAACTTCTACCGGAGGTTCATTCGAAACTAGAGTTTGGTGGCAGCCCCTCTCACAGCCCTCACCTCTCAGAACATTCCCTTCCGGTGGTCCTCCGTAGCAGAAGGGGCTTTTGGTGAGTTAAAATCACGCTTCACCTCTGCTCCTATTTTGATTTTTCCAGATCCTACTAGGCAGTTTATTGTAGAGGTGGATGCGTCGGACACTGGAGTTGGGGCAGTTCTTTCTCAACGGTCGGCCGAGGATCAGAAAGTTCACCCGTGTGCCTTCTTCTCTCGGAAGCTGTCCCC